TTGTAAAAGAATTATATATATTTATATATTGTATATCCTACACAGTCTTTGAGTCAGCCAACATATTCTCATGAAATAAAATAAGAAAAAATGACTGTTTAAGACTTTGAGAAGAAAATTCATTTAGACAGCAAGGCAGAGTTCCTACAGCAATCCACAGTTCAAGCCATCTGCCTAATAATGTACCCACAGTTATAAATGATTCATTAAGAAATATGTGGGGCTCCTGAATGTCTCCACCACGCATTTCCTTGCTGCTTTGAGCAAGACATTTAACCTCTTTACTTCCATTTCTCCACCTCTGAACCAGCGCAACAGTCTTGCAGGATAATTACAAGGGCTGATTTGTTATTTTTTGCCAAGTGCTTTGAACATGAAAAGCTCGAGTTGAATTGCCTAATGCATTTTTTCTGATACTACTCAGAGCCCCCTCAAAAAGCCACCAGAAAACGGAGATTGCTTTTAGTCATCAACACAACACCAGTCAAGCAAAGGCATCACTATAGCAGCAGGGTTTCCTCCTGCCCTTCGCCCATCCGTCCTGTTCTTATCCACAGATGCCACCACCCTTGTGCCAGCCTGTCATGGCAAGACAACTGTCAGACAACCATCAAGTTTGTGATGACAAAAGAGAGCATGGAATTTGCTGTAATTTCCTGGGGAATGCCTCTGGATGACTAAAACAGAAATGCCGTATTGTTTGAGCAAATCTGTGCCTTCCCTTCAACACAAGTGAGATTAGAAGGACATCAGAAAATTTTTGGGCCATCCTCTGGACGTCTACTCCAGGGGATGCTAAAGCAGAATGAAGCCTTTCAGTCATCAGCTTCCTCAAGTTCTGAGCAGAAGAACAGTAGTTGCTTTCATGAACTAAGAGCTTAAAAGTAACTGCTAGCAACAGCATTCTTCTATCCTATACTGCTCGTCACCCATCCCAGGACTGCTGTACTTCCCGGAGTTGGGGATGAGTGGTGCCTCCGCTGCGCTACCACCCTGCAGCCACACACGTGCTGCGTAATTCAGAACTAGGTGTAGGATTGAGCATCTCCCTGGAAAGGACTTCCAATTCTGGAATAAACACTGAGCTAACTGTTACCTCTTCCCTTCCTCTTCTGAAACTTCTAAACTTGAAACTAAAGTGAGTACGGGAATATTGCTAAATAACGATGGCAGCAGTGACTGTCCCGTGACTAATAAAAATATAAATTAATTGAGAAACTGTTTGCCTTTGGAATGCACCCAGCTGTACTGAAGAGCCTATAATGTCTCACTGTTTCCCAAAGCAGGACATCCCCAGACCTTCCTTCCAAGGGTTTTTAGATCCCAGCTGCAAATTAGTCAAGTCAAGCACTGCTTAGCACTCATTAATATGCATTAAAGACCAGAGCAGAAGACACTTAATCAAAAGGAAACTGGAGTCCAGAGAATCAAAACCTCTGCTAAGGTCAGCAAGGTGGTTGCTCAGAAGTGAGAGCCACACAGGAAAACATTCACAAGGAATGCACAGAGTGACTGTCCTGTCTAATTAGGACAAGGATTACGCTGATAAGCCATAAATGAATCCATTGCAATACACAGGGCTGGGTTTTAGAGCTCCACTAACCTCTTCTGGGGGTAACAGGGCCCCTGTGCATCCCTGAAGACCTGCTTCCAAGGCTTCCAGGGACCACAGGATCCACAGGTACTGGCAACGGCCATGGCCACATGGACCCTTCTCTACAGCTCGAGCTTTCCAAGGCAAGTCTGCTGTGCCGTCAGGTCACCATCTCCACTTGCGGCTGTCTGCCCAAGGTCATTCCACTTGTGCCATCCACCGCGACGGTGACCTCCTCTCCAGCCCAGGAGACCTGCCAACAGTTTGCCACCGCACTGCGGAGGTCAGCCAAAAAGCAGGGCTCTTCTCCAGCCTCCTCAACATCCCCAACCCCTCTTGCATTGCTGAAAGCATTCTTTAAAAGTCTAATTTGACAGAAAAACTGCCTGACATATTTAGATCTACAGAAGGCTCCGGGTTTTAGAGCACTAGCTCCTGTGGATAATTAAATGTCTTGCTGGCTCTGCACTTGGTGAGCGACTTAATTGTCTCCTCATTCCCATTCCCATCACAGTTCCCTGTTCTAGGCTGTAATGAAGTAACCCATCTCACTGCTGCTTCAGGACTCCAGCGCCTCTGCCCACCCTGTAACCGCAAGTTTAATTAGTGTTCATTTTCTTCCTCATTAGTACAGCTTTACAAAGTTTCTCATTGCCGTATAAAGGCAGATTTACTTCCCAATCTCCAAGC